ATAAGAATTGCTAGGAGTACTAGAAGGGCAGAGCTCCAGGCTGTACCTCCCGAGATTGTGAGTTTTAGGTCTGGGGTGGGCATCCCAAGTAAATCTGAGATAGTTATTCCTTATTATCAGACAGTTATTCCAGAAGTGCTATCTCAGAGGATTTTGAAATATAGGAAGCTGGTGGTGCCTACTTCTGCCACATCCTCACACACATACAAGAGAGATATTTGTTACCTTTACAGATTATCAAGGTTGATTAGGGGAGGCTATTGGGTCTTCATTGTCATTTGTCATTTCCTTTTTACTATCCAGCTCTCTGCTTCTTGCTTCCCTCATGGCCACTTTTCTAACTGTGGTTTCTTCTAAGCTTTATTGTCCTCATTGCTCTTCTTTGTTCTTAATTGCTGTCTTCTGTCTCCTGTGGCTTCTTCATTTCCCTGAGAGAAAGTCTAGCCTTTCATGGACATCACCAGCCAATGGCAGTGCCTCTCTATTTCTGGCCAGTGAGCTGACCAAATAAATAGGAGAGTTGGACTCTCTTTAAGCTCTTCCCAGCTGTTTTCCTCATTACTCTTAGCTGTTCTTCAACAGTAAACCTTGTCTTGCCTTCTAGGTTGGGAGATATTCTAGAGGCATGAGGGTTTCACAAAACTGGTCTTTAAGGAAAAGGACAGTGACATTTAGAGAAGTATTTTAAAGCTAGATAGCCTCAGAGTATTAGGAAACTTTATTTTAGTGGTAATTCTCTGGATGGTATGATACTGTGAAAAGTTTCTTGAGGCAGTTTAGTATCATTAAAGTCTCCTGAGTAGTAAATCAAAGAATCATGTATTGACCCATATATGGAGCAGATATTCCTTCTGTTCACTTTGTGTGGAAGCTGCCAGATGCTCCATTCATCATGGGGATGTGTTTCCTCCGGAGGCTTAATGTTCCAGGTCCTTTTAGTCATAGTTTTGGAATTGATAACATTGTTTGAATTGGTTAAAATTATAGTGTACATGGATTTATTCCACTTTAAACCTTTTAGGCAGGCCTTAAAAGGTGAACTGCTAGGCATGTCACACTCTAGTGACACTCAGCTTATGCTGGTCTCTTGGATGCAGTCACCCCTGAAATGTAAGCAAAACTGTTTAAGTTTGCAGTGTAACAGAGTTTGCTCGTCTGCTCTCTGATTGCAAAGTGGATGACTATGCAAGTCATTCTTAACAGCTTTTGTCTAGAAGCCAGCATTGAACTGAGGGAAAGCAAGTACCCCCTGGGGTTCTCTGAAGCACATCCTCAAGCACTGTCAATTATGGAACTAGCCTCCTGGTATTTGCACCCTTGAAAAGGAGGTCTTTAAAATAAATAATCAGTGTTAAGGTGGAATTCAGTTAACTTTTTTCTTATTAAAGGAAATTTACCAAGAAAAAAGAATACCACACAGTTCTGTTCTGCCATAATTGTTTACATTAAAAAAGCAAAGCAAAGCAAAGCAAAACATTTTGCTTTTACACAGTATATAATTCTTTGCCATCTCCAGGTCTCTTTGGGTATTGTATATGTTTGTATACTTTTAATTTTACCTAGCTGTCATCATAATGTATACTTTGCATCTAAATGATTCTTTTAATGATGTGGCATTTTGTTATTTTTATGATTGCCTATATATAGTTCAAGGTGATGCTGTTAGCTATTCTCCTGTTACTGGGTATAGGATGTTTTCATTTTTGCCTGTTGTAAATATAGTATATAGTATGCTACTGAACATTTGTGTGCGTGTATGGGTTTATGTGTATATAACCATTTGTAGGGAGCTCTGGTAGCACAGTGGCTAAGACACTTGCCTGCTAACCAGACGGCTGGTGGTTCAAACCCACCAGCCACTCCTCGGAAGGAAGGTTGGGCAATCCTACTTCCGTAGTGATACTGCCTCGGAAACCCAAGGAGGGGTCGCTATGAGTCGGGTTTGACTCGATGGCACATAACAACAACAACAACAACCATTTGTATTTTATTTATTATTATTATTTTTTAATAATAATTAGGTTTTTAGTGGAAGTTTTCACAGCAGGTTAGGTACCTTTTCTACATAAGTTGTTGAGTGACACTGGAACATTCTTCACAATGTGTGAGTGTTCTCATTATTTCCATTCTGGTGGTTCCATTACCATTAATGTAGTTTCCTTAACCCCGCCTCCCCCCCGCCCCTTACATTGTCATCTTTGTTTTAAAATAATTGTTGACTGATCTCATATAGATGGTTTTTAAAAGGCGCACATTACTTACAGGTAGTATTATTTTGCACACCAATCTGTAATTTAGCTACATAGTGAACTCAGGCAGTGGTATGAGTTCAAGCTTTGAAGAGTATCTCAGGGCAGTATCTTGGGGAATTGTCAAGGTCTCAACCAGTCCAATAATTTTGTTTTTTAATCACCTTTTATATTCTTAATTATTTCCTCAGGATGAATTCTCAGTAGCTGGATTGTTAAGTCAGAGGGTGGAAACATGTTTTTAATGGTTTTTGATACAGGTTATCAAATTATTTTCCCCAAAATCATACCATTTTACAGAGCCACCAGTCATCTACACTGGTTTCTCTCAGCCTGCGCTGCATTAGGTGTTTTAATGGGTTGAAAACCTGTTTTCTTTTTTTTTTGCCAGTTTGTATTGCTTTGTTGTATATTTCTTTGAGAAGTAGTAAAGCTGAAAATTTATCCTTTTATGTATATTTGCTTCTTTCTTGTATTTTTTCTTGTAGGAGGGAGAGATAATTTATTAAAAATTATTGTACTAACTGCTAGTCCCAGAGCAGTAGTCAAGTGATTATGACAGGGTTAGCAACCAGGGCTTGTAGCCATCTTTGACCAAATTGTGACATTGTGAAATCTTTAATTCACAGAAAATAGTTATATACCTAATGGTTGGGGTATTCTGCTTACTATCATATTCTGATCATTACTACTATAGATTACCCCATTTTCTAAGATTAAGAATCAAATATAAATTCAGTGCATAGTGACCCCTCCTTGTGTTTCCGAGGCTGTATCTCTTATGGAAGTAGATTGCCCAGTCTTCCTTCCGAGATCAAAACTATACACACTATTAATTTTTCTTTAGAGATTCTGAAAGGGATTCAAGAGACAGTTAGGGTCTTTTATGAACTTTTTTTTTTTTTTTTTTAGTCTAGTTTGAAGATCTAGGGAATGTAGGAACTTGAACTGAATCTTTTATTAATTTCATGAGCAGAAATTTAAAAAAGACATAAAATTTAATAATTCATTCAGGACCTTGTGTAAGATTTTGGTCTTAACTCTATTGAATACTATATATTGAGCCATATGTGTGTGTGTGTGTGTGTGTGTATTAATCATCAGTTATCTTTGTTATCCAACATTTGGTATTCAGGACAATAGTAAAAAATTCATCCAACTGTTTTACTCATTAACAATACATGTCTGACAGTACGAATGCCAAGGTGTTAGGAGAAAGTAATGCTAGCTGTAATGGTTAAGGTTATGTGTCAGCTTGGCTGGGCCATGATTCTAAGTGGTTTGGCAGTTATGTAATGATGTAGTCGTTTTCCATTTTGTGATCTGATGTGGTCATTCTCCATTTCTGCACAACATTGATTTTGGTTATAATGACCTGGTCATTGGAACCTAACCATGTCGATGAGTGGGAATATGCATACATACAGGTTTCCCCTGCTATCTTTAAGTAGAGTGTTCCTATGAGAGCCCTGTCATAAGCCAAAATGGCATAAAGTGAAGAAGCATCTACCATTAATTTATATGAGAATAATTTTTGAGCCTACCAAATCATAGGCGCTCTGGTGGCATAGTGCCTAAGGCATTTGACTGCTAACCAGAAGGCTGGCGGTTCAAACCCTCCAGCCACTCCTGAAGGACGATTGGGCAATCTACTTCCATAGTGATACTGCCTCAGAAACCCAAGGAGGGGTCCCTATGAGTTGGGTTCGACTCGACGGCAGTGAATTTTTTACCAAATCATACCAAATAATACATAAAACCTAAAATAGCACTAACATCATAGTGTTCACAGACACAGTTCAAAGCTACTTTATCTTGATCCTGAGATTCTGAGTGTAGTTCCTGGGGAAGGAGCTTGGCGACACCACTCTGGCTGCAGGTTGCCTCTTCAATGTTGTTGTTGTTGTGTGCCCTCATATAGCTTGCTGCAAAACAAACCCTGAATGCTAATTTTGCTTTTCACTTTTTTTATGAAAGCTAAAATTCTCTTTCAATTTCTTTAAGTTAGCAAAAACAAGTACTAATGTAGGTCTTTCGTAAAAGCTAAGTGACATAAAGTAAACTTTAAAAAAGTGAGGAAACTTGTATATATGCATGTATACACATATGAGCGCATATATACATACATATACATATGTATATGGGTGTTGTGGGTGTGTACATGTATACTGCACACTATAAACACTGCTGATTATATGCAGGGGGATGACGTGATCACGTTTTTGAAAAGTTTGCTTAAACTGGCAGTCAGCATTGAAGTGAGACATCTGGATATGCCTGTCTGTTCCCCTGTGAGCCATAGGAGATAATAGAGATAATATGGGACAAAGAACATTGATAGCTTTTATGATGTCAGGGGATACTTGACACTATTCTTGAGTATACTTAATTAAATGTTAAAAGATACTTGATCTGGAGAAAGACAGGAATGGAGCCTGGGAACTTGGTATGAAAGTTATTTTAATTGTGTAGGTGAAAGTTGAGGTAATGGGCTGGGGAGGAGTTGAGGAGAGGTGGATGATGAGAAGGTATGGAGAGAGGGCTAGAGAAAAATTGTTTGAGAGGCATTGTTTCTAAAATCAACAGATGATAAGGTGAGTGGGAACATATTATATTTAATGTATTTTTTTAAAATTTTAATTGTGATTTGGTGAAAGTTTACAGAGCAAATTCACTTTCCATATAGCAGTTCACATACACTTTGTCTCATGATATATCTTATTTCTTAATGATGTGCATTCTCTTTTTCAGATGAATTTACAATTGATTTTCTGGATTGGACTGATCAGCTCAGTTTCCTATGTGTTTGGCCAAACAGGTACCAAAAAAAAAAAAAATCTTAGCTGTCTTTTCATTTCAGTATCTTATCTCACTGTTTGACCAGTTTATAGTCCAGGGAAAACCTCAGTCAAATCATGCTACTTCTTCTGAGAAAGCACTGCACTGGCCCCCATCTCGCTCAGAGTAAAAAGCAAAGTTTTTACAGTGACCCTCTGGTCAGATTCCCCTTACCCTTGCAGCCCAGTGTTTCACCTTATTACGTATTCTCTTCTATATTGCTCTATTTGCTTTTGCTCAGAGATGCCAGACATCCTTTTGTCTTAAAGCCTTGGCTTTGGCTATCTCTTCACTCTGAAGTCTCTCTCTCTCTCTCTCTCTCTCTCTCTCTCTCAGATATCTGTATGATTCTATCTCTCTTTCTGCTCTTGACTCATATGTTAATTTCTCAGTGAGGCCTTCCCTGGCTTTTGTATTTAATAATTGTATGCCTTCCTCTTCATACTTGCATTTCCCATTTTATTTTTTCTCCTTACCATTTATCCCTTTCTGATATGCCCAGTGTCTTATTTCTATCATGTTTTTCTGTCTCCCCTAGTACTAGACTATAAGCTCCATGAGGGCAGAAATTTTTTTTTTTTTTTCACTGCTGTATCCCCAGTGCTTAGAATAATGTCTGGCACATAAAAGTCTTCAAATAAATATGTATCAAGTGAAAGAATGAATCCACCAATATCCACAAACAGTGATCATCACTCCTTTGAAGCTGCTCCTACCTACCCATTCTAAGGAGTAGGTCTGGATCAGCTTAGTAACCAGGTTCATACCTAGGTCTTAATACTTAATATTTATATGTAGTTCATTGTTTCTCATTGTGATTCTGATTTGTCATCATTTTTTTCTCTTGAAACTTCAAGTAAAATGGCCTGTTTGTTCTTTTCCTGACAGATGAGAATAGGTGTTTAAAAGCAAATGCAAAATCATGTGGAGAATGTATACAAGCAGGGCCAAATTGTGGATGGTGTACAAATTCAGTAAGTAAGATTGCTCAAATCTTTTCCATTTATTATCTGATTATTTAGGATTGTTGATACTATATCCTTTGGAAGTACTAGATAGAAACTTTCATTTAAAATAATGTTTAATGAGTATGTGTTACCTATTTGTAAAATATGAGGAGCTCTGGTGGTGCAGTGGTTAAACCATACTGTTGCTAGCCAAAAGGTCTGTGATTGGAACCCACAACCCACTCTGCAGAAGATGAAATAATCTGTTTTCATAAAGATTTATAGCCTTGGAAACCTGAGGCAGTTCTACTCGGTCCTATGGGGTCACTATCAGTTGTAATCAACATGATGGCAATGGGTTTACTTTGGGTTTTATGTGTAAAATGTCAGGCCCTGGTGGCACGGTGATTAAGTGCTTGGCTAATAACCAGAAGGTCAGTGATTTGAACCAACCAGCAGCTCTGCAGGAGAACAGACGTGGCGATCTGCTCCCATCAGGATTCCATTATAGCTCAGAAACTTTATGGAGCAATTCTACTCTGTCTTATAGGGTCACCATGAGTCAGAATCAACTCAACAATCATTTTTTTTTTAATGTGTGGAACACTGATGGTGTAGAGCTTTGCTTTTTATCATGGCAGCCACTAGACAGATGATGCTATTGAGCACTTGAAACCTAGGGGGTCCAAGTTGAGAGTTGCTGTCTCAAATACATACCAGATTTTGAAGTTTTATTAACATTTTATAATATTTTATATTATAAAAAATAATATTTAAAAAATTGATTACATGTTGAAATAATATTTTAGATATATTAAAATTAATTTCTCTTCTTTTATTTTTAGTGTGATTACTTGGAAATTTAAAATTACTTATGTGGCCCTTCCTTGTTTTTAGTATTGCCTTTTTATTGGAAAGCTTCCATAAAACACAGGGCCTTTAGTTTTAGACTGTTTGAGATATATCCCTTTTTTTTTAATTGTTTTATAACAGTGTCCCCTCCCTTCCCTTTCTCTTTATCTCTTTATTTTTTTTTTTTTTGAGAGAAGGTACAAATTAAATTTCACAATTTTATTTGATTTAAACTAGTATAGGGTTGATTTGCATCTTAATATAAACCCATTGAGAGTAGGGTTTGAATTATATTCACTTTTCTCTTTAAATAATTAAGCCTTTGATGTTTTGGGACATAATTCTTAAATTATTGAATGTATTTTGGAATATGTACCACGGAATTTTATTTGGGGTGGTGTGGATTATAATCTTAAAGTGTCCTGGATTAGCTCATATTTGTTGTTATTGTTATGTGCCGTCGAGTCAGACCTGATGCCTAGTGACCCCTCCTTGGGTTTCCAAGGTGGTATCACTATGGAAGTAGATTGCCCAACCTTCCTTCCGAGGAGTGGCTGGTGGGTTTGAACTACCAGCCATCTGGTTAGCAGTCAAGTGCTTTAGGCACTGTGCTGCCAGAGCTCCTGGCTCATATTTGGGAATATATAATTCACTAAGCATCCTCTGCTTTGGCAGTATCTTAGGTTTGATGATAAGTAGTGTAGCTTTGAACTACCCAGTCATTCATTTTCCTTTCCAGTAGTTTCTCTAATTATATATGTGCTTTTTATCAAGATTCGTTTCCCTTAAAAGAGAAAAAAGCTGAAAACACTTCATATTTTTTCATTTAAGTATCTTAATATTAGGAGCTCTGGTGATGTAGTACCTAAGACATTTGACTGTTAACCAGCATACAGCATCATGAAATCGATAGGTAGCAAATACTATATATATGATTGAGGAGCTCTGGTGGTACAGTGGTTAAGGCATTCAGCTGCTAACCAGAATGTTGGCAGTTCAAACCCACCAGTTGCTCTGCAGGAGAAGAATGTGGCAGTCTGCTTCCATAATCATTTACAGCCTTGAAAACCCTATGGGGACAGTTGTACTCTGTCCTATAGGGTCACTATAAGTCAAAATTGCCTCAATGCCAATGGATTTGGTTTTATGTTACATATGATTGAACATCAAGTGATCTCAAATAAGTAGCAATCCCCCCTTTTCCCCATGTGAAGATTAGAAAAAGAAAATTTTTGGCCATTAAATATGTAATTTTTAGGGATATATGTGACACAGTCAAATGTTCACTTATAATAATTTATTGATAGTGTTTTTATGATTTATTTTTATATCTTTTAAAATAACACACACATACACACATAAATATTAATATCATTTTTTCCCAATCTCAAATTTCATGAAAACATTTTATTTGAAACTTTCACATCTTTTACAGCTGTTCTTTTGTTTTCACAAAGGTAGAGTCACAAAGTTTCAGCCATCTGATAACGTTTTTGCCTCCATTTCATGTGTTTGAGGTATAGCACATTTTGAGTTGTTGTTGTTGTGTTTTGCCGTCGAGTCGGCCCCGACTCCTAGCGACCCCTCCTTGGGTTTCCGAGGCAGTATCACTACGGAAGTAGGATTGC